CTCCACCATTTAGAAGGACCATGAAACATTTCAAAACAAAACCAGTAAAGAAAGTCTTAAAGTCGGGCGGGGCCGACTTTATGATACCCTACACCACTTTGCAAATTTAGTAGAGCTCCGCATAACAATTAAAAGTTTTTATGGGAGAATTCAATCATACACGCTATGATTATAATTATAATTTAAAGTTCAAAGGACTAAATATGCCGAAGCATTTGTATCTTTTAAATTCGGACTCGCATTGCCCATTTGGTGCACAATTAATTTGAAATCGGATAAAAATATATATGGGAGCTATATCCAAATCGGAACCGATCTCGATAAAATTTGGCAAAGATATTTCTGAGCTGTATTTGATATATTTCCCGGAATATCGTTGTTACGGAGTGCACATTACGGTTGTGGGTAACAAATATGACAAGTCGAATGAACAGTATATATGGGAGCTATAGGGAGCTAATTTGACATACTAGCTTTTAGACTCAATTCGGTCGTAAGTGCTAAATTTTATCCAATTTGGGCAAACATTAGACGTTTGGTGCAAAATCCAAGGTAAATCGTACGAAGTTATATATGGGAGCTATATTCAAATCTGAACCGATCTCGATAAAATTTAGCAAATGTATTTCTGAGCTGTATTTGATATATTTCCCCAAATTTTGTTGTTACAGAGTGCATATTACGGCTGCGGAGGACAACAATAACAAATCGGATGAACAATATATATGGGAGCTATAGCTATATCTGAACCGATTTCAATCAAATTTGGCATACTTATTTTCAGGTCCAATCTGATCGTACGTGCAAAATTCCATACTATTCGGACTGATATTCCACGTTTGGTGCACAATAAAAGGCAAATCGGACAAAGATATATATGGGAGCTTTATCTAAATTTTGACCGATTATCTCCAATTTCAATAGGGTTCGTCCTTGGGCCAAACAAATGATTTGTGCAAAATTTCATCTGAAAAAATACATGGACAGACGGACGGACGGACATGCATAAATCGACTCAGAATGTTATTCTATGCAGATCATCAAAAAGAACTATGGGTCTATCTCGTTTCCTTTTGCCTGTTACAAACAAATGCACAAAGACATAATACCCTGACCACCTTGTGGTGTAGGGTATAAAAATACCTCGGAAAACACCGCTTAAATGAAACCATTGTATGGAAGCTATACGAAGACGTGGACCTGCATAAGTAATTTCCACATAACAATTCCGAAGTATAATGTACTGAGAGGTACAGCTATATGGAGGCTTTACAAAGACGTCTACCCGTGGGTAGTACCCATTAAGACCTTCAAGTATGAAATTTTAAACAATTCCAGTGAACAATGTCACTAAAATCATCAAAATACCGAATGTCGGGGGATATCGGATATCGTGGACAATTATCTTTCAGGGGGAAAAGTACGCAGATGGAACTTCATGTAAGGATTTTTAGACAATTCCATTGACAAATTTGGCTACAATCATCAAAATACCGAATATTGGGAGGTACCGTTATATCGGGGACTATACGAAGACATGGACCTGCAGAGAAAATGTTCTATCATGGATTGTAGTACCCATTACGAACTTTAAATACGAAAATTTAAACAATCCCCTTAGATTATGTCGCTAAAATCATCAAAATACCGAATATTGGGAGGTACCGCTATATGAGGGCCATAGGAAAACGTGGACCGACATGGCCGATTTACGAACTTAACATGCCTACTGGAAAAACAAGTAAAAAAAGCTGTAAGTTCGGCCAGGCTGAACTTTGAATATCCTCCATCATTTGGAACGAATTTGGTAATTTTCAAAAAAAAATAAAATCCGATAAAAATTCTGTTCAAATCTTAAAATAAGCCATTACAATATTCAGATGCGAAACTAGAAAAAAAACGGTGAATAATGTAGCTAAAATCATCAAAATACTGCATATCGGGAGGTACCATTATATGGGGGCTATAAGAAAACGTGGACCTACATGGCTCATTTTCAATACCAAAAGTGCTGCAGACATAATACATATTTGTGTAAATTTTTATCAACTTACTTCATTTCGTTCTACCACACAGACGGATTCGTTCTAGCACCTAAATCTAGTACCTATATCGACATGGAATTTTATGCTGATCAAGAATATATGTACTTTGTGGGGTTTAAAATGTATATTTCGAGGTGTTACAAACGGAATGACAAACTTAGGGTATCGTTGAGGGTATAATAAGCACAGGTGCAAAATGTTAGCCCATATTTAAATCTTTTTTTAGACAGTAGGGTTGTTTGATGAGCATTTTAACCAATCTCGAAACCCAACACATAGTGTCAAGTGTTTGATAGTGTCTCTGTGGCTTTTTCTTTTCACTGAAACTTGCTGATCATTCAACACGACTCAAAAGAGAAATAAACAGAAAAAAGCACCATTCAAATTTGAACGAAGTTTTACAGTCAAATTTAAGACCTTAAATAATATGAAATATTCATATGTACGTACGACTCTACCATATCAAAAAATAATCCAAAGAAAATGTCCGCCGAATAAAAAAATGTAGGTAAAAACTTCCAAATAGGAATTAATGTTCCTATTTCTAATGTAAATTCTTCCAAATATTTCGAATTCAATGACTACTTAATGTAGGGTACATGAAATTATAAATTGATAAGAACCACTTTGGAACAGCTGAGGAAAGTTTAAAATGAAAACAAAAACAATTATATTGAAACCTCCATCTAAATATGGGTTATCAAACCACATGTCCACATAATATGGTTATTTAATATATGTATGAGGAATAGCAGCAAAAGCTTATTACCATAAATTCTGTATTTAAAAATACCGCAGACGAACATTAATGTAAATATAAAGGCGCACGAAGTTTTATAGATACAGAGATGGAACATTTAATACATTAGTTTATTTTTATTTAATCGAGAAAGTGCCGCAGAACTACCGTAAAGGAACGTCAAGAGGAATATATTAAGTAAGGATGAAGATCTCACTTCTTGGGAAATAACCTGACGAACTGGCCAAAAACCATGGCGATTCATCTGTAAGAGTGACTTACCGCCATCCTTTACTACTTTTTGTCCCTTGTCTCCCTAGACTGGTCCAGTTCAGCAGTCAATATCTATTTTGTCAACAGATCAATGCATTGTTTGTTGATAGAAAAAAACGATTCTAAAGTTTCTTTTTGGTTCACATCTCAGATCGAAATGAAAATTGGTATTCCTTGAAATGTTGATTACAAGGATAGATCTGTTCAAATAGAAACGTCTTGAAACCACGAACAAAGGGCGAAGATATATCCTAAAGTTTCAACAATCCAGTCGAAATCATACCAGCTTTTTAAATCGGCTATATGATAGCCGAGTTTAAAGTTGCGAAATATATCATAAATATGTGGTCAATGCATATAAAGGCCTTAAAACGTTTGTCCTCAGAATCCGAAACTCTTTTAGGATGGGTTAGCATTTTTGACTAATATAATGCTTCTTTTATTATCCGTTCTATTTCCGATGTCACCACTAGCCTAATCTGACACCAGAAAGAGATCAAATTAATTATGAAACTGGACACTGACTCCTTGAAAAATTGTACTCGCAAATCTAGATCGATGAGGCTCTTCGCGATAAGATTATCTGTATTTAAAACTAATGTAATACATAAAATCATTAAAATATCGAATATCGATAGGAATCGTTATCTAGGTGCTATACGAATGTGTTTTTTAAGACTATAGTACCCATTACGAACTTTAAATATGAAATTTAAAACGATTCCGGTGGAAATTGTCGCTCAAATCATCAAAGTACCGAATATCGGGATGTACCGTTATATGGGGGATGTACAATTTATATGGGGGATGTACAATTTTCACGGACAAATTTCTGTCATAGGCTGTAGCATCCGTTACGAACTTCAAATACCAAATTTGTAACATTTCCGGTGAATAATGTCGTTTAAATCACCAAAATACCGAAAATACCGTACCATTATACGGGGGCTATGCCAAAACTTGGACCCACATGGCCCATTTTCAATACCAAAAGTCCTACAGACATAATATACATTTGAGTAAAATTTTATCAACCTAATTCATTTCGTTCGGAAGCCAGAGTGATTTCCACAGACGGACAGTCATCGGAAGGGTATTGCAAAATCGACATAGAATTTTATGCTGATCAAGAATATGTATTCCGTGGTGTCTAAAATGTATATTTCCAGGTGTTATAAACGGAATGACAAACTTAATAATCCCTCCATACTATGTTGGAGGGTATAAAAATGTGAAGAGGCGGAACTTGCTCTATTTAGGTTACGTTCAAAACGGCGTTACACGTATTGTAGCAATTCTTTCTTAAACTGCAGTTGTTTTTTCTGTATTTATTGGGAAAACTTATTTTTGTCGCACTATGTATAAGGACCTGTGGAGTAACTGCAAAATCAGAAAGAGAACGTATTTTTGTGGCCAATTTCAGATCGATCATCTTCAAATAAATTAATTCTGACCCTAACACTGACTTTATGTTAAATTTTGTGGACTAAGACTCAGATCGTCGATAAATGATGATCTGCATTCTAGATGGTGGATCTACGATCAATATTTCAAAATGATTCAAATTGCTGGTCAAAAAACCAAGTTTAAATACAATACCAATTTAAATTAGTTTACAGCATAAATTAATTTGTATAGCTATCAAAGACCGTAAATTAGTTTGAGCGCCAATAACAGATAATTCTAATAATAGCGTAGTTGTAGGTGATATATCGAGTTATTCCAAAATGTATTTGTTTATTAAGGGCGTTTTCTTTTCAGATAGTCTTCAAAGCTAAATATTCGGCACTGCTAACAAAAATGAGTAGTGTATCTCTGCATAGGTATGTGGTTTTAAAACAAAAATACCAATTCTATAAGTGCCGCAATCACCCCATACAATTCGGATTTTAAACAAATACGTCACTTACGTGATAATAACAAACCAACCGGCAATTACTTACCAAATAAAACTCAGACCTTGTTGTCTACAACCACTGACGGACGATATTGTCGAATTCGAATTCAATGCTGAAGCTCCGGTCAACTCCCCACCAATTTTCTGCAAATCACCATTGACCGACGGAGAATGGTAAAACTACTAGAAAACTCATTAATTATTAATAAGAAACTAGTTTACACTCAGACGAAGCACACACACATCTGTTGTTATTAAATTGTCGATGGCCGGTTTGTGATGTTTGTCTCGTTTTTTGGGGAAGAAAGTTCAGACACTGAAGCGTAACGATGTGGAAGACTTTAGAAACTTTCCATGGATGTCATTTGTTTAACTTTTGGAGTTATTTTATTGATTTGTAACATGGAATGACCCCACTTCCGCGTTATGGAATGACCCACCGTTGGGTTAGGCACTGGACACAATTATCTCTCACTCACTAAATGCAATAACAACAAGAGAAGACGACAACTAGTTGTTATTTCACTTTGTTTTTGCTTGCACAAATGGAAAAAATGTAATAATTTTATTGCTCTATTTTTGTATTTTGATTTTAGCTTTCTTGTGTTTATTGTTGTCGTCTGTCTTTTGTTGTTCAAACGAATCATCTGATTTTACACTCCCAATACGAATGTAAGGAGATGGAATGGGTAAAAATTCATATTTTGACATTCGTCGAACAGCTGTTGTGTCTGTGTGGTGTGGTGAGTAATGATGAGTATGATGTCATGGTCGTCGATGAGTGGGAGTTGCTTAGATGTGTGCTATCGTTTTATTTCAGTTTGTTATCGATAACATGCACATGCATGAAGGTGAAATCGTGTTGTTTATTGTGATAATAAATGAAAAAGTCATGTTGTCATTATACAAATGAAAACAACATAGAATTAGGGGAAGAAATATGAAAAATATATATAAAATATATTTTTCCGTAATAATAATATTACATATATTTCGTGGAAAATTCAACTGTATTTAAAATATAAAAAAATAAATCAGTAGTGGAATTCTCTAATTCATGTGGAATGTCGGTAAAATTAAAATCCTTATAATTTCCATAATTAACAAAATTTGTCGGTAAGTTAGCGACGAAAGTAGTCGCTAAGAACTACCTATAGATACCAATGTTTCCACCGTTTCCATGCACAAATATATCGTCAAATACCTATTATCCCTGCATCTCTAATTGACAATTTTTTAGCTGGATTCGACACCTATGACCTGTTTCAGAACTGCAAGAATGTAAATGTTTTTACTACAATAACCGATTTTCTCTTTATGACATCGAAGAATTGCAAAATATGGTAGAATTTTTCAGGTTCTGGAACAGAACACTAATTTAGCAAAATAGCTTATCATTCACTCATAAATTATATATACAGGGTGAGATAAAAAAACTGCAACGCCATAATTTTTACATTTGTTTTTTAAATTTTATGGAATGATAGAAAACAATTTCGGAATTAGCATCAAATTTTAGAATATCTTTAGATTTGTTTGAATTGGTCACCTTTTGCACAAATTATGGCCTTCAAAGGCCAATGAAACCGTCACACGCTGCCCGAATGTTGCTCTGCGGTATTTTGGCCAATTCCCGGCGAAGCGCTTGCTTGAGGTGATCGACACTGAATTTGGTTGCAGTTTTGTTCATCTCACCCGGTATAAAATACATATATTAGATATTTCTTTTCAGATAACAAATTGTGTGAAGCGCCTCAAAGTATGTTATAAAATGACCTAACATAAATGTAGAAAAAGAAGCTTTACACATAACTTTAACATTATGCGTATATTAGCCTTAAGTTATAACAATTCTGAATAACTATGTGTAGGAGATTAGTCTGCACGAATAAATTTTTAACAAAGGTTTTTCCAAACCATTCGGAATTAAAAAATCTCCCATCCTTACATACTTTGAACTTTAAGCAATAATTGTCAGTTAAAGAGACAAACGAAATGAAACTGTTGTATTTTAAATTCATTCATTCAAAAGTTTCAATTTTTTTTAAAGGAAGATTTTCAAGTTTTCTATGATCATCAAGAAATGGTAATCTCATATATAAAATGAAATTAAAGTACGCGAATTATGCCTTTGATTAAAGATGAGAACATAACATCATCTGTTTAAAGTTTTTCTTTATAACAAAACCATTGGCAATTACATGGAAGTCCCTATTGCTAATTAGGCAGACAGCTGATAACACAACTCTTGCTCTCCCCGCTCCAAAACAGCAAAGAAATTTGAGAAAAAATCGAAATCTACACATACAAACAAACACACACTCATATGCACTTGGGAAAAAATATCTCTTCTTTTGGGCCTTTGTTGTCATTCAAAATCAATCCAGTATCAGTCCATTGATTGATATACGAGAAATTTCCATTTTGAACTTCAAATGAAGTTTCTCATTAGGACGAGAGTCCAAAAGAGGAGGCGAACATTATTGGTTTTTTTCTCGCATGCAACAAAGCTGTCTATACAAATACACATGTGTATGGTGAGTACGTAAGTATGGGTTGCTTATCAGATATTTACACCGTTTCGTATTGTGTGGGTCAGCGTATAAAGCAGACAGCTAATGGGATACGGTGAGCTAGCAACATGTCGAACAAATGTCAGAATGGAAGAGTTAAGAGACGTAACCAAGTTTTTTGTCATCTGTATCATATTTGCTTAATTTATGTACTGTGGATCTTGGGAACATCGAATAAAACAATTGATGGACGTGGAGAACTGCTCAAGATCAAGAGCTCTCTCGCCAGACTAATTTAACTTAGTTCTTTAAATTATCAACAAATAAGGGTTAAAACATAATTTATAAGTAATCTTGGACAACATTTAAAAAAAAAAAACTAGTTTAAAAGTATTAGTCGGTTTGACCTAGAGATAAATAATACACTCATCAAATTGTTCGACTGTTTAAATATATTTTGACTTCTGTTATGATCATTCAAATTGTTGACTCTCTATGGAGAAGGTTCTGAAGGTATGTGCCAATATTGTCCATTTTGTATCGGATCTAAATAAATATGATATAAATGTATCAGGTTTAGACTTCTTCTTTAATTTTTTATTAGATATGTGACAATTTTTAACTGTCCGTGGGTTACCACATATACATGGTGAGATAAAAACTCGGAAACAAAGTTCAGACTGCTGTCATTTCTAAGTCACTCGTCCGACAGCTGTTAAAATTATTTTAGTGACAACTCATTATATTCTTTACAAGAATACAAAAGCATTTTGGTGAGAATTTTCCAGAAAAAAAGTTATTCGTACTGGAATTCAAGCGTGATAGTGTGATTTCTTTATATTTGCCTGGAAATCCACAATTGGCTATCGTTAGAGCACTCCAGCATTTAAATGTGAATAAATCATTTGTGTCTCGTGCCATCGTTAGTTACCGTGATACTGGTAGCGTAGCCCAAAGGAAGGAAGGAAGAAAGTGGACGGAAGTAAACAGCAACTTCAGAAAAAAGAGACTTGATCGAAACTCGCGTCACAGTGGCGGAAAAATGGCTTGTGACCAGAACATATCGCAATATTCCATTCGGAAAATATTGAAAAATGAGCTCGGGGTAAAGCCACTGAAATTCCAAAAAGTTCAATAACTTGCACCGCAAAAGAAAGAAAATAGACTCAAAAAAGCTAAAAAGGCCGAAAGTGGTGAGCTGCCGAATTTGGCTTTCTCCGATGAAAAAACATTCGTTGTCCAGCAGTTTGTAAACAAACAAAATGATCGTGTTTACTTGCCAAAGAGGTCAGCTGAAAATGTGCACCTTCAGTTGGCCACCAGAACTCAAGCGCCGGCCATGGTGACAGTGTGGGCCGCCATAACAGCCGATGGTCGCTATTCGCTCGTATTAATCGACCGTGGCATCAGAATAAATGCCGAATATTATCGCGAAAATATTCTGGATGGTGCGTTAAATCCTTTGGCATGCAAGCACCACCACACTCAGCACGCGCCACCCAAGAATGGTTACAAAATCAGGTTAGTCGCTTCATTTCCAGGGCACAAAATCTCTGGATACCAATACGTTGGACTTTTGTGTCGGGAGTATTTTGGAAACCAAGGTTGGCACTAAAAAATACCAAACTGTCGATCACCTCAAGCAAGCGCTTCGCCGGGAATGGGCCAAAATACCGCAGAGCAACATTCGGGCAGCGTGTGACGATTTTATTGGCCGTTTGAAGGCCATAATTCGTGCCAAAGGTGCCCAATTCCTACAAATCTAATCTTATTGTAGAATTTGATTGAAGTTTTAAAAATTGTGACGCTTTGCGGGTAAGGTACCAAATGGGGTTAGCAGATATATATCATCTTCACAACAGAACTTGGGTTAACAAAAATGTTTGTATGTGTGAGATTTGAAGAGAGTTGGATGCTTACTTTGCTTTCTTTGAATCTTAAAATCTTAAACCATACTTGGGGGAAGTACCAGAGGAAATGACCCGATCTCTTCCATTTTTATAAAAGATCTTGTGTAGATTGAAATATTGAGATGTACCAAGTCTGAATGGAATCGGATCTTAATTTCACCATTTGTGGGGGAGGTACCAGAAGGAGTGAGCCGTTATATCCCATCTTCACAACAGATTTTCTGTTAGTAGAAATAATGGGATGTGTGAATTATGAAAGGAACCGGATGCATATTTCGGAGTTTATGATCGTTTTGGTTATTCAAAACTATGACCCTTTGTGAGGGAGGTACCCGAAGAAATGGTCCGATCTCTACAATCTTTATAACAGATCGTGTGCTGATGCAAATATTGACATGTGCCCAAACTGAATGGAATCTGAATTGACCGACATATCCCATCTCCACACCAGATCATGTGTTACTAAAAATATTGGGATGTGCGAAATTTGAAGACAATAGGGCTCTTATTTCACATTTTATAATAGTAACGATTATTCAAAATGTTGACCCTTTGTGGGGGAGAATTTTTTCGCACCTGATCTAGTTCTAAAGTAAATATTATGGTTTGCAAAGTTTGAGCAAAATCGGGTTATTCTTTCTCTTTCTGTGCAGTAAAATATCTTTTGGAAAATTTTGACTTTTTGTGGTGCACCGATATTGCCCATCTCCGAACTCGATGTAAGTTTGATAGTAATATTACGATGTACCAAGTTTGGACCAAATCGGATACTCTCTTCCAGAGTTATCGTACACACCAGCCAGACAGACAGACGGAATGAAGAGCAGAAATCGCTAGATCGACTCAAAATTTCCAGAAATGGATTTGGTCCAAAGAGACCTAGAGTCTAAAACCGTTATTTCAATGATATATACCCTCTCTAGCCATATGGCTGAGGGTAAAAACCTCTCTGGCACCGTCTTTGCCTTATTTAAGTGCAATATTTCTGTTTGTAAAAAGGCTAACTATATATCGATATATCTATCTACAGCCCCTTATCGCAGTCCCACTGTATGTTTGACATAGATTTGTCAGGAGTCCAGGAAACAAAAGTGAGGAAAAAACAACTTCAAAATCGAAGGACACTTTACCAACCAGACACAGTCACATACACAAAAAGGGGGGTACATCGAAGGACACTCGACCACATAGACACACTCACACACAGAAAGCAGTTAAACCGCATAAGCCAGTAATTATGTGAAT